ATTCTGCTCTACATAAGCTGAGAGTTTTCTGAATGGAGCACTTCATCTAGTGACCCACAGCAGCTCTACTACACGAGGCCACAAGAAGACAGAAATTGGGCCATACCTGTCCAACGTCTTGCTTTGCCGACTCTTTTCTAGCTCATATTTTGCCATCATTGCCTGGAAGGTGGGAACGTAGAGGATAGTTTCCAGCTTAGCAGAGAAGTTCTCAACTAGATGTTCAATAAGGGACTGGATGTCTTCCTGCAGAAGAACAAAACAGAGTTTCAGTCTCCAGGGTTCATATTCAGAGAGTCAGAAAGCATTTGAGATTCATCTGGAAAGTAACTAAGCCCTTCTCCAGGACCAAAACATACATAAACAATTGGGAAGCAATCAGATCCTCCTTTATTAAACTTCCCATAGAAACAGAGAAGAGACTCAGCAGTGTCCCAGTTCTACTTGGGACACTTCCAGCAAACCTGGAGGTTTCCTTTCTGGGAGAGCTGCCTTTTGCCTCTCAACCTGAGAGGTCAAGGCTGTGTCAGTGCTGAGGCTGCTGCTGAACTTACCACCAGGATGAAATCAAACAGCTCCAGCAAGGCAGAATTGAACAAGTTGTACCTAGTCCCATTGTCCAGCAGAGCGTTTATAATCGGCTCAAAGAGGTTACATTGGATGATGTAACGGTTGTAAACGTCATTTTTCATGGCAATCATCCTCCTCATAAAGCGAAGAGCAGCTGTGGGAAGGGAGACACATTCAAGCATTTCATCACCCCGTGCCAGGGCTCCAATCTGCTTCTTGGGGAACAACTGAAAATCCTGCTATTATCCCAAGAGGAAGATGCACACTCAAAGCAAGAGCATTAAGAAGCACTTGGGAAAAGTGCAGACCCAGCATTTGCTGACAAGATAAATCCCCTTTCTTTCCTTCTTGGACTTTGCTGGGTATTTGAAGGTCATCAGGGACCACTGCTTTCTTTCTCAAGTCCAGCAGCAATGCACTTCAGCATGTGTGAAGTTCAGAGGTTTGCTCCCTCCCCTACTTTTCTCTGCTGCCCTCCCACAACCAGACCCAAGTCTTTAATTATCCTGCTTCACACCATTTCATTCCCTCTCCACAAGGAGCACCAGATTCAGGACCTTCTTAAAGAAGGACAAGATTTCCATGGAAATGAGGCAAGACACCTGATCACAAAGGAACCTCACTGGCAGGAAGACTTGAAAGGCTCCCTGAGGACTTCAAAAGAGACCACAATCCTTCTCCCACCACAAACTGCACTGGTCTATGCTCATGGACAGCTACTACCTTGCTTTCCAAACTACTTAGTGGTAGCCAGGAAAAGACAGGAAATCAACAGCAATTCTGAGCTCAAGTGTAGACACTGATAGTGGTGCACCTTGCACAGAGGACACACAAAGCCCTGAAGAAGGAAACCACAACAACTCCGTACTCACCCAAGGCCAGAAATTTGTGCTTGGATTTCAACAATACCAGGACTCTTCTTAGCACATCTTCCCGTGTAACATACTTCACCATTTGATACTTGTACCGTTCCACACAAAAAGAAAGCACCTCCAAAACTAAAGCAAGGATTTCTGCACTTTGATAATCATCTACAGGGAAAAGGAATATATTCAGTTATACCAAAGAAAGAAAGAATGTACTCTCATGCTATGCAATGTGCTAACATGTCAGCTTTTACAGTTTCTGATGCAGTTTTTAGTTGGTTTTTGTTCTACTGCATTGCTTCTGGAAGGAGCACGTTGGGTCAGAACAAAACAACCAACACAACTGTGGCTTTTTTCCTATCACAGTCAATCTTCTTTAAAATCACACTAGGAAAACTACTACATGACCCACAAGAGCTATCAAGAAAGTCCATCTCTGCAAAGCATATCATCAAGCTACATCAGCATTCCGAGCTGTCAGAAAGGGCAATGAAAACTCCTGCCAGTAGAACCACCGTCCTTGGAGGAACAACAGTTTGCAGCAGGAGTATTCCTAACTGGCATCAGAGAGCTATTGCTGTTCACAGCATTAGAACTCCCTTCAAAACATTTCAGGACTAAAGGGGGAAAAACATTAAAATTGTCATTACCTTTGTCATAGGAATTTTCTGATGTATCAGCCAGAAGTGGTGCAGTAAGAATGGGAA